TGATTTGTTAGTTTTAGCTTCTCTCATGCTAATTTTAGCCTCTGATTGTAGCTTTTCCTACACTAATTTTATCCTCTGATTTGCTAATTTGAGCTTCTCCTATGTTAATTTAAATCTCTGATTTGCTAAGTTTAACTTCTTCTAAGCTACTTTTAGTTTCTGATTCACTTGTTTCTTCTGAACACCTTCTGAATATTATTACCGGTACATTTCTCTGATTATCAGCAGTTTGTCTGGGAGTGGATGTGGGCGAACCTTAACTCACAAGCCGGAGCTTCATGGTTGTGATAAAAATCTATTCTTCCCTTTCAAACTTTCGTTTTCTTCCCTCAAAGCGTTTCAGCTTCTTTTCCTTTAATCTGTGTGTCCCTCTTCATCAACGTCTTCGTCTCCCTCCTGTTCTGGTCCCTCCAAGTCTTTTTCTGTTTCCTCTCTGTGTTCTGTGTAGGAAGCTGTGAGCTTTAAAGGATTTAAATCTATTTTCTTCAGCAAGATTTCTCTTTAAAACAAATCAGCTCTTTGCATTTCTCCTCCAGCCAAAGACAAAAGGGCGATAATGTTTTGCCCAGGTCTTTGTTTCTGTCGTTTTAGCAAAATATTTCATGAACCAGTGAACAGATAGACAAAACATTAAAGTACTTGGTGAATAAACGTCAGTGACTAATTAACCTTTGGAGTCAAGATGATTCAAGATGGCCGCCACATCTGCTCGACCTTAGAAAACTCTAAAACGACGACGACTCAGTGAATTTAACAAACATGGAGCTAAATGTTGATGAGGATGTAGTTTCCATCCAACCACCCCATCCATCCATCCATTCATGATCCATCCATCCATCCACCCATCCATTGATCCATCCATCCATCCACCCATCCATTGATCCATCCATCCACCCATCCATCCATCCATCCACCTATCATCCATCCATTCATCCAGCCATCCATCCCCCCACCCATTCATCCACCTATCCATTGATCCATCCATCCATCCACCCATCCATCCATCCATCCATCCATCCACCCATCTATCCACCTATCCATTGATCCATCCATCCACCCATCCATCCATCCATCCATCCACCTATCCATCCATCCATTCATCCATCTATCCATCCCCCCACCCATCTATCCACCCATCCATTCGTCCACCTATCTATCCACTCACCTACCTATCCATCCATCCATCCAACCAACCATCCATCCATCCACCCACCCTCCATCCATCCATCCCTCATCCATCATTCATTCATCCATCCATCCCCCATCCATCCAGCCACACTCACAACTCATCCATCCATCCCCACCCATCTATCCACACTTCCACTCATCCATCCATCCATCTACCCATCCACCCATCCACTCATCCATCCATCCATCTATCCATCCATCCATACATGCTCTCATTCATCCATCCATTCATCCATCTATCCATCCATCCATCCCCCATCCATTCACCATCCATCCACACTCCCACTCATCCATCCATTCACCCATCCATCTAGCCACCCATCCATCCATCCAGCCAGCCATCCATCCACATTCTTGCTCTTCTGTCACTACCCAGAGTTCATGACCACAGGTGAGGGTAGGAACATAAACTGATTGGTAAAAACTGCTCTCTGCTGCTTGTCTCCCTCTTCACCACAATGGACCGGCACAGAGAATGCAATACTGCGGAAGACTGGTCTGTGTCTCGATCTCCAGCTCCATTCTTCCCTCACTCATGAACAAAACCCAGATGTACTAGAACTCTTTCACTTTTTACAACTTGATTAACAAATAATTTCTTTAAATTTTTACAGTGTGCTAAAAAAAAAAGCAGAAACCCAGAATAAAAACAACAGATCCACACAGTTTTGACAGATGGAGAAAAATTTTGTTACTGTTGGAGTTGAAGCCATTTTCTTCAGAAGCATGAACTGCTCTGCTGCTCTGAACCCTGAGAAGTAAAAGGTGCTCCGTAAAACCTAATGGCCCCAACAGGGACATTTGCTGCTCCTTTAGTTCTGATCTCGTTCCACTTTACCGTATCAAACACATTTGTTTTGCCTCCTTTTTTGGAAGGGGGGGCATTTGCTGAAAGTTTGCAACATTTAAGTTGAAGAATCACCCAGTTTTACTTGGGTTTCTGCTGAGGCCGTCAGATCTCTTCACAGCGCGAAAACCCTCCAGCTCAGAAAAGGACAACTTTAATTTGACCCACAAGTTTTATTCTTATTAAGATATACAACCTGAGTCATCTGGAGTTTCATAATCATCTCAATGTGTCTGTCTGAAGGTTATTGTTTGATTCTCCTCCTCCGTCCCTCAGCGTGTCCGTCATCCTGCACCACCTGCACCAGCAGGTGGGACTGCCGGTCCTGCGGACCCCAGCTGCCCCTCCTGAGCCCCGACAGGAGCCGGTGCCTCGCCGCATGTCCTCCTGGTTCCTACCAGCACAACCGCACACACTGTCGCCGTAAGTACCACAGCATCTCATGGAGCTAAAGGTGCGTTTGTGAGCCCGTTTGGAGATTTAGCCTCAAGCATAACTCCAAATTAATTAAATTAAAAATAAGTTTATGACCACGATGATGAGCTGATGGCTAGTCTGAGCAGAGCCAAAGTGGTTTGCTGACATCTTTAAACACCTCTAGTATCAAGTTTCACCGTGACTCATGGAAAACTATTTTATATCAATGTTCTGCCTGAATATGTAATAATATAATTATAATGGCAGCTAAAAAATACAGCTGAAGTTAATTGTGAGATCTATGTGATTTCACATAATTAGACTTTCCAACCTTCAGATATTTATAAATCTAATAAATTATAATTTACTTAATTTTAAGGAAGAAGGACCTATATAAGGCAATAAATCACTTATTGTGTGAATAGTTTATAGTTTCTGTTTATAGTTTGGTTTAAGGAGTCAGACTTTGTGTTATTTTAGCTTTGTGTAACAAATCGTTCAGCTCATTCAGGAGGTGGGTTATGTGACTTATTTTTTTTTTTTACTTTTGTACATTTCAAAACATTTAAAGATGTATATATTTCCCATAGACAGCCATCTTGAATTCTTCTAAAACCTTGTTTAGAAATTTGCTTCAGAGAACCGGCTATGTTCTTGTCTCTTTTTCCACTTTAAACCTTTAGCTACCATTCTGCTACTCTTTTTTTTATATATATATAGTCCTTTGCTAATTTTGGCTACCATTTAGCTATTTTAGCTTGAATCTAACCTTTTGCAGCTTTAAATTTTAGCTAACATTTTACTGCTTTTAACTAATGTTTTGTCACTTTTTAGATTTTTATAAGCCTCTTGCTACTTTTATCTACCAGCTTTGTTACTTTAAGCTCCTCACTACTGTTTTGCTTCTTTTAGCTTTTAGCTAGCTGTTTACTACTAATAGCTTTTGCCTAACTTTTGCTCATTTCAGTTCTTAGCTAGACTTTTACTACTTTTACCTTCCAGCTAGCATTTAGCTACTTTCTTGTGCAGTTTGTGTTTTGCTATATGTTTGCAGCGTAGTGTTCTGCTTCTTTTAGATTTAACAGCCCAAGTTCAGCAATGCTCAGCAGAGGCATTCGGCTCTTTCTGTCATTATTTATTTATTTTATTTTTTGTTCTTTGTGATTTGGTCCAAAGATCAAGTTGGACACAGCTGAAGAATAAAAATGTGGCTTTTCCACTAAAGTTTGAATAAAATCTCTAATCTCGGACCAACAACTGAAGCTCAGAAAAGTGTAACGCTGTTTATAACCTGCTCAGGACTTCTCGTTGTCCTGCAGACAACTTCCTGTTTTCCTGTTCGGTGCTGGTCGGTAACTGTCCGGCCCGACTGTCACAGTAATGTTCCTGTCAGGATCACAGGATCAGCAGCTGTAAACGGGTCAGACTGCAGCAGCTGAAGTAGGACGTCTGTCTCCGTCCGTCTCACTACAAACGCTCAGAGGACTCCCGGCTTCACGTGTTTACGATTTGACTCTTGTGCCATGATTTGTTGGAATCATCCCAGCAGCATTAATCCCATCTAACCTGTTAATCTGTTGCTCCTGGATGTAGAATAAATAGAAACGACGGCAGCTGTTGTTCACCTTCCCTTCTCTCGTAGATGATAATTTGCACTGCAGCGCCAGTTTTCAATGTTTGAAACACTGCGTGGGATTCACAGAACCGATCAGCTTCCAATTCTTTACTCTCCTGGACTTTAATGAGAGCAAAGTCCATTTTTTTTTGTTTCCCACACCGTTTCTCCAGGAAGAAACGGAAAGATCAGCAGGCGGCGTCAGGGTAAACTCATCAGGTTGGCTTCTCAGTGTGGGGGACACTCAGACCACCCAAGGAAGCGGTCTGCGTCTGCAAACCTTCACTTCTTCATCACTTCTGACTGAAAGCTTCTGTATTTATCTCAGCTGCCTCTGGAGGGTTTATGAGGTGCACTGTGCTGAATCCCCTCCTCCATTTTTACGTCCTTTCAACACATTTATTCTTCCTCTTTTTGTCTCCTGTTGCGGAGCGAAGAGGGGGATTGGAAATACTCTTCACCATCCGTCCGTCCGTCCATCCACATTGTGAGCACGATAACTTGAAACATAAGTGAGGTACCGAAAAAAAAGGTTGCCAGGTTAAAATCTGAGATCTCCCATATATACAGCATGTAAACAGACTACCACAATCATTTGTGGAAACTATGCTTTATAGTTTTTATATTGCCTAAAATTATAGTTTTGTCAAATTATTGGAGTGACTGTTTTTGTTTTTTTTTTTGTGGGGGGGGGGACCTTTGGTCACCATTGTCCACACCTGGTTCCACCACTGCACCTGGTGGTGGATAAAATTGCTCCCTTCACTCACCAGGAACCTTCACTCTGTACCTGCTCAGACAAGTAAAAGTATAAAATAATAATAACACTCTTTGTAGACAAATAAAAAAAACAACAACTCATGATTAACTCAGGGTCAGTGCCATGTTAGACGACATGAAATGGGAAGTAAACAAGCTGTACGCCGACGTCCCCCCATCGCTGAGGGATTTGAATAATGAATGCTTGTAGTTTTGGAGATGAGTGGGTTTTTTTCTGGACTGCAACTGAACATGGAATGCAAACAAACCTAAATGTTTTTGGTGAAAGATATTCAAGAGGGTAGCAGTGTGAGAAATGTGGAGAAATGGAGAAGAGCAGATGCTGCGCAGAGTGAAGGATCCTGGAGAGTGGAGGGAGCGATTATATCCACCACCAAGTGCAGTGGTGGAGCCAGGGGGTGGCCAATGGTGGCCAAGGCCACAATAGATTATTCTTTGGCCACCCCAATCATTTGAGGAAGCTATTCTTTGAAGAAATATACAATTTAGAATGCATAATTTCCTCAAGTGATGAGTCAGTTTACATATCTTATTGGTGGTGGACATAGTAGATGTTGACGTGGCAACCCAATTTTCAATACGAACCCTTCTCATGTCTAGATGCAGCCACACACTAGAAATTAATTTTGTACCTCACTTATTTTTCCAGTTATCATGCTCCCAACATGCACAAGTGAACGGGCAGATGGAGGGTATTTCCAGTTCCCCCTTTTTGCTTGACGATGGGAGACAACAATCAGTACACACAAAACTTTTCTGTTTGTTGTTGTTTGTGTTAAATACAGTTTTCTTAAAGCTGACAGCTACAAACTACATAATGACTGTAAGTATTTAAATTATTTAATGAAGTTATAAAAATAGACCCTTTGGAGATAGAAAGCTTATCTTCGGGTGATGACTGATTTGTCAGGACATCATCTGGTCCCAACAACAATTTACTGGTTTTTTTTTTTCTCTTTGAATGACCAGAACTCCTGACGCTTGTCCAGACATTAAAAAAACAACAAAGTGCAGAAAAAAATAAACCACGGGCCGACAAACAGAACCCTAAAACAACGTTTCCATCTGCACAAATCAAATAATTTTCTCTCGTTTGTTTTCAAGTTTATGTTGAGGCTGAGCTCGTTTTTTTTTTTACATCAGATCTTATATATCATGAACGTGGTGGTTTTGTATTGTAGAAACAATGACAACAGCTCAATCTGACTTTCTCTCCACTCTTCCTCTTTTAAAGAAAACAAAATCACAACAAACGGAACAAAACGTTGTCTTTGGTGTACTTTAGAACATCGAGAGGAGAGTTCCTGAAGTATCTGTTTATCTGACTTATTTCTCCAGTTTGGTAGAATCGGATCAAAACGTTTATAAAACCAAACGAGTTAGCACTCAGAATACGTGTTGAGGATGACTCTCAGCTACTACCTCGTCAAATTTTAGCTCGGAATCTGTAAAATGTGTTGATTTATGACCGTTTCACTGTTGACTAAGGTCCATTAGCGTTTCAGCATTAGCATCCAAATGTGAATGAGTTTAATATGCACCTCCACTGGAAGTTTTCATTAAAACCCACCAGATACCCGTGAGATATTTTGCTAACAAAGACGGGGTTAACTCTAAATACGTAATAGGTTCAAACAAAGATTTTGTGTGAGCTCTCGATGCTCAGAATGTGTTGGGAGTGACGCTCAGCTTAACTGTACCTCCATATTTAACACTAACTGATTTAGCGTCGGCTAGTGTCAATTAGCTGCGGCAGCCATCTTGAATTTGGTCGGCTGTAAAAGTCAATCGGCTGCAGAAGCTGCCTTTGCAGACAAACATAAAAGAAGCAGATGAAACTGGATTTATAGATAATTTATTTAAAGAATAAGCTTCATAGTAACTCGGGCAATTTAGAAAAGCAAAACAAACATTTAAAAAGAGAACTGACGTTAATAAACCTCGTATAAAGCTTGGTAATACTTGTTCAGATGCAGCTCTGGTTTTATTTCACAGCATTTATTTGTCCAAATCTCCTTATTCTAATTACCGAATATCTCCTTTGGTTTTGTAGCCGGGGGTTTGCGGGAAGCGAACCTCGGCGGCGCAGTCATTGCGTCCTCTCTCGTCCCGCGGGGACGGAGACCGAAGATTACCCAGTGCACCGTGTGGCCATGCGCTCATCTGAACCTTTCCCACCTTCGTGCAGAGCTGGTTCCACCGGAGGGAGGAGGATTTTTTAGGCAACTGGCCCACTAGGATTACATTTGCTGATAACTTTAGGTTGCTCGGGAAAATAAATTGCTTTCCTGAGAGGAGCAAGGTAAAGGGCGCGTAATCCCCTTGTTGGCTATAACCGGATTTGGAGGAACGCTTTAACCATTTTACTAATAGCTCTTGTTGAATTGGACAATTTTATATTTTTAAAAAAGGTTCAAGCTTTTTGTAAATTAGTGTATAAGTGCAGTTACCTTCGTCTGGACATTTTATCTCCTTGTAATAAAAGCTTATAATGGGCCTCTTCGGTCCTTATGCAAAACCGGCCCGGTTAAAGAAGGATGGATTTAATATTAAACAGAAGTGAGACGTGATCGAGAGGAGCCAGAAGTGCTGAGGTGAGAGGGATCCCAAGACAGAGAGCATCATGGGAGGAGGAGGCGAGAGGAGTTCAGAGAGTGAGAGACTTAAACAGATAATGGGGAAAGAAGAGGAGTCCAGTCGGTTTCACCTTCATGTTTCAGAAACAGACAAATCTTCATCATCTGTCCTGCAGAGGTGACCATGCTTGTTCATGTGTGTCTGTTAGCAAAATATATAATGTGTCGGTGAGTGTAGAAAGTTATTGATACATTTAGTTATTGATAAATACATGTTTAGCAGATCCTGCTCATTATAGCCCCCACATATGAAGATCTTATGGGGGAAATCAGCCGCACATTCATTTTTGTCTGTGTTTTTATTTATTTATTTTGGTGCTGTGAGTAAACACATTTTATTCTGACAAAGCCTAAAACTCCTTCTATTTTTTGGGGGGGTCATAATGTTTTCAAATGCTTTTTAACCTCACAGGAATTTTACTGCCCTCTAGTGTTCCTTTGGGGTAAAAAAAAAATACCATAATGAAATCCCATTATAAATTAATTTTCTGATCCTATATTATAAAATAACACATTCCTTTCTGTCATTTATTTAAATTTAACTTTATCTGGATGTTTTTAACTTTTGTATGATCACTCGGTGATGCTTTGCATTTTACATTTAAGAACCTCTAAAAAATTTACTGGGACAGTAACTCACCCCAGAGGAGGAACGTCTTTCCCAGTAGGATTTTGTGGCCAAATTCTGTCTCTTCTCATCATCAACAAAATTATGTTAGTTTGGATGTAAAGAGCAAAAACACACCTGCATGTTGCACAAGTAGACATCAGTTCCACATCCATGCACGTTGCAGAATCGGACCCACCTTGGCTCAGGATGGCTGCCTCCCATTGGCTTGACTGGTCAGGACTTAAAACTGGACAGACCCATACATATTACCAGCAGCTCAGTTCCTGCTTTTAGTTTTCTACACCGCCTTACAATCTAGCTGTTTTTTCGCTACTTTTCCTTTTAATTATCCTTTTATTGTCACTTGATTTAAAAAAAAGATAAATTTGTACACATCCTTTATGATTGTCTGTTGTTGTTGTTGTTGTTGTTGTTGTTGTTGTTGTTGTTGTCATCACTCTTTGTTCAAATTCAGGTCTCTCTTGTAAATGAGTCCCCAGGCTCAATGGGATTAATCGGTATAAATAAAGGTTGAACTCAAATATAATATACGCGTCAGTAAAAGCTAAATGTCAAACAGGCATGAGTAGTTTGAAAAATAAATAAATACTAATATTGAAAAGAATAAAATTAAAAAATCCTTTAAAAAATCGTGTTGAACCACCGAGCCGAACGTAAACATTTGACCAAAAATAAGGCCTTGACTACCGGATGTCACCGGTTCAGTGAACTGGAGGGGCTTCAAAAGACTTCACTTTAAAAAAAAAAACAATTAAATAAATAAATACACCCAAAAAATATCTATTTGGGGCAAGCTAATGGGGTAACAGTTTTTTAAATTGCTGTAAAATAAATATTCTGTTCACTAAAATTTAAAAAAAATAAAATAAAAACCTGGAATGTGGAGTTTTTAATGTAATTAAAATAAAATTTAAAAAAATCACATCAATTTTTTTAATTTTTTTTTTGTATTTCAGGCTAAGATAGCTCTAAAATATTGACTAGTTTATTGTGACAAATGTATTTTTATTGTGACAAAGTTCATGCTCAATCATCCAGGTACCAAATCCAATAATTCTCAGTCGGGTCATCTGGACAGTTTCTTTTTTTATAGAGACGTTTCACCCTCTATCCAGAGGGCTTCATCAGTTAGAGGAGTTCCAGTAAACTGTTTCCCCACAAACCAGTATACTCCTTAACCAAGTGGTTGGTCCACTTAAGGTCCAGATGACCCGTGAGAATTATTGGATTTGGTACCTGGATGATTGAGCATGAACTTTGTTGCCTTGAACCACTTTGGCTGTGGCTGTCTGCCGGGGAGGAGTTGACGAGGGACAGGACGGCCCCCAGAAACCATCTTAGCTCCAGCAAACTGGTTGGTCCACTTAAGGAGTTTACTGCTTTGTGGGGAAACAGTTTACTGGAACTCCTCTGACTGATGAAGCCCTCTGGATAGAGGGCGAAACGTCTCTATAAAAAAGAAACTGTCCAGATGACCCGATTGAGAATTATTGTATTTTTATTGAATTTTAAAGCATGTGGTTGATTTTTTTTTCTCCTTAAGGTGCATCAGTGGTCATATAAAGGACAATACGAGGGTTAATGAACTTTAATGGCTGCAACTCGGTCAGTTTTACAGATGCTGAGCAAAAATGTGGTGCGGTAGTAGCTGAGAGTCATCCCAAACACACATTCTGAGCACTGAGTGCTCAATTAAAATGTAACCATTTACTATTTAGAGTCATCTCTGGCAGTTAGCAAAAGCTGGCCTAATTCAAGATGGCCGCCACATCCAACTGACTTAAGGAAACAACAAAAAATGGCTGTAACAGGAAAGTTTTACTGCTAGTGCGCTCAAGTTTTATCTGGTAGTAGATGACAGTCGTCCCCAATGCAAACTCCTAAGGGCTACTTGTGGCATCTTTGTTTAAAATATTAGCATTAACGCCTGGTTTTGTCTGTTAGCAAAATATCTTATCAACCGCTCGACCGGTTTGACTAAATTTGATAAAAGTCTACAACTGGAATCAATCCGATTCAAGATGGCCGCCACAGCTGATGAGTGTTACATTCAGCTTGCGCTCAGAGTAAATGTTGGATGTCACTTTCAGCTACTACTTTATCTGTGAACAGAGTTAAAAACTTTTTTTTTTTAAATTGGATAATTTGATTAGCAGTGGCGGCCATCTTGAATCAGGTAATCTTCAAATCAGTTGTGGGGATTTGTTCATTTTTGCTGCAAGTTTCTGGGACCCAGCATTTTTCTGTTTATGACGCGTTAATTTTATTTTGATTGTTTTACGGAATGGAACTCGAATTTGCAACAAACAAACAAAATGAAAAGAAGCTTAACTGCCGTGGTGACCGGATAGAAAACAACCAGAGAGCTCAGCTGAGCAGGAGAGCTGCAGGAGCTTCATCAGATTAAATAAAATAAAAAATGTTTCTGTGGTGTTTGAAGCTCCAGCTGTGTGTGTCTTTCCAGATAATAATGAAGAATGTTCTGAGTTTTGTTACCGGGGGACAGCAGGATGATTTATTTCACTCGGCTGTCGGAAAACCTTCAGCTCCGATCCGATTATCTCTCCTGGAATCTCCCATTAATTAAGATTTTTATCAGCGTTTTGAAGTGGCTGATTAAATTAATTACACCGTCCTCGGGTGAATTTCTTCACGTCTCTTGGAATTCTGTGTTAAATCCTCTCCTCCTCTCCCGTTTCACACTTTAACTTCCTCTTCAACCTCGGTGGTTTTACAAGAAACGCTGAGCGAAGTGACGGCGCGCCTGTTTAATCAGACGTTTTGTATCATCTGAGCCAAGACCGAAGACCTGCAAATATTTCAGAGGAACAAGGAGGAGCGTTTACTCTGCTGCGTTTTATTGCAAAGTGATTTTATTTTAAAGTTCTCCTGATTTGTCATATAGACCACACTTTGTCGTTCCCCCTCACCCAACAGTTCTCCTCTTTGGTCACTTCCTGTCTAAATTACTGTAACTCCATTCTTTTTGGTTTTCCTACAAAATCCATCCATAAACTCCAACTGGACCAAAACGTCATCTCCGCCCGTCATATAACCCCCGTCCTGCGGCATCTTCACTGGCTCCTTGTTAAATTTAGCATTTCATACAAAATCCTGCTCCCCACCTTCAAAACCCTCAACAACCTCACCCTTCAGACACGCCCACATCGCTGCTGCAGCTTGCCCTGCTGCGAGCCTCACTCGCTCTTCTTCTATCCTCCTCTCATTACTTTATGTGAATCTTAGTCTGTTAAAATAATGGGTATGGGGGCTTGTGTGTTCTTTTATTTTTTTTATTTTACTATACCAACACTATCAGCTCCTGAACGTCATATATACTTGCTATTAGGATATTAAGTTAATTTATTTTACTATACTAATGCTGTTAGCTCCTGGACGTCATGAATATTAGCTCAGGCGCTAACACAATTAGCTGACTTGAATTCAAGTTCAAGTCAATTTTATTTTATTTCGTCTCATGTGGTACGCGAGGTGGAACAAAATTATGTACACAGGGCCCCAGTTACACCCAAAAATAGCAAAATATAAAGTATAAAAAGAAACAATGAATAGGGATCTAAGATATGCACTGAGATATACGCAAAACAAATGTCAAACAGTACGCTAAAACATCTAAGATACACTAATAATGTAAAACAATACGGCGTAACAACAGCAGCCCGAACATGAGTCTGTGGTGAGCAGATGGGTATGAATGAATGCAACACGTTGTGCACGTTCACCAGAAACGGTTCTCTCTTCAGAATGAGAACCTCGTGTCTAAATTAAATTACCTGTGTAAATAAAAGTAAGAAAGTAAAATGTTTTTCCATCCCCTCTTGGCTCCAGGCTGTGACGAGTCGTGCTCGGAGTGTCGCGGTCCGACTCAGCAGGAGTGTGTGTCGTGTTCTGACCCGGCTGCTCTTCTCAAAGACGGTGTGTGTGTCTCCGACTGCGGTTCTGGGTTCTACAACCAGGACGGCGTCTGCTCCGGTAAATATTCTCGTCTGTGCGTCTCGTTTTGAGACGTGCTTTTTCTGCTGTTTAACCGCTGAGCTGCAGCTTCGTGTGGTGGTTGGTCAATCCGTCACTTTAAATTATTTTTTAAATGTGTTCAGTTTACAGATTAGCCTTCATCGTATGATGTTATTAGTTGTCCCGTTTTCCCAGAATCCTCCTGGGCATCTTCCATTGAATGCGCCACAGTAACAAGCAGAGGTTTTCCGGTAAACTTGACTGACCTGCTGCAGACAAAAATCCAACTACTGTTTCTGGAATCAAGTTTTATTTTTAAATAAAGCTCTCACGTGATCTGTTGACCAGAATTCAGCTAAATCTCAAATAGTTTGGGTTGTCTGGGATCGGGCTGCTTTTCCTGACCGACTTGTCTCGTTATGGTTTTGGAGGATTGGATCCGGGAATGCAGACCAATTAAAATAAAACTTTAAATTTATTTAAACAAAACTAGAAGCTGATGTGGCAGCACGAAACTTAAATAAATAAATACATAAAAAACCTGAAGATGTGGAAGAGAAAATCACCGGGAGGCACTAGGAGGGTGTGGCGCGAAAGTTCAACTATTTAAGACTGAAAAAGGAGTGAAAACAGACTGGAAACACCTGGAGACAGGTGAGAGTGGGCGGAGCAAGATGAGAGCTGAGTTCGTAAAAAACTTAAACACAAAAAAGAAGAAACAAATTAAGGAAATGCATCCAAAAGTAGCAACCAAGACATCACAGATCCTAAAGCAGCTAAAAAATAACAGAAGGCTAGCTAAAAGCTTATAGTGGCAAAAGTGGCAAAAAGTTAGCAAGAAGCTAAAAAAGGAGTACAGTAGCTTATAGTGAAAGGGTAGCTAAAAATTAAAAGAAGCAGAAAGGCAGCTAAAAGCTGAACATAACTGTACAGTCATTACAAATAGCAAAAGGCTAGAAAGAAACTAAAATTAGCAAAAGGTTATCGTAGTTAAAAGCTTATAGCGGTAAAAGGTTAGCTAAAGGCTAAAAGTGGTAAAAAGTTATCAAAATGTTATAAAGGAATACAGTAACTAAAAGTAATGAAAGGAAAAGTTAAAAGAAGAAAGGCAGCTAAAAGCTGAACATAACCGTGCAGTCGTTAAAAGTAGCAAAATGCTAGCTAAGAGCTAAAAGGAAAAAAGCAAGAAGCTAAAGTGGCAAAAGGCTGGCTAGTAGCTAATAGAAGCAGATTAGTAGCTCAAAGCTAAAAGTCTTAAAGTGGCTAAATGTTTTGCAATCTGTCTGTGCTTAGAGTATGTTTTGTGAATCACTATCAGCTACTACCACTCAAAACCAAGATCTCTCTACCGCCATCTTTAAGTTGAGGAGTCCACGCGTTCAGATGAACGGGGCCTTCATCCTGGACGCTCCCCAGGTTCTGACATTTTGGGCACAAGGACGAGGAGCAGCTCGCTGAGTTGAAGACTTTCATCGGAGCAGCAGGAAAAAAAAAACAACTTGTCTGAACTTGATGGTGGTTTTTAACTTCAGACACTTTAGAGATAAGAGAACTTTATTAATTCTGCAGGAAATTGTTGTGCCAGAGTTTCAGCACAAAGGAACACACACAAGGATTCACACAAGATATAAAAATAACAGAGAGATAAAAACACCAACAACTGAGGTAAGTTTCCTTTCAAGCACGCCCAGACACAAGTGCTTTCCTCAAACGGAAGAATTTATTAGGATCCGGTACGTGAAAACTAAATAAGATACACAAAGTAAAACAAAATTAACTCTTAAGAGGAATAAACAACAAATATTCATATCAAACGCATGTACGCTCGATGTGAAACAAAATACAGAAATAAAACAAACACACCTCGTCGGCTGTGTGCTAACAAAAGGAATTAGGCTCGTGTCTTCGGTCTCAGCTTCTTTGAACTCTTTTCTTGAACTTTAAAAGTCCGTACTTGCTGATACTCGCATCATTGCTACCGACTGACTTCTTCTGGTTCCTTTTCACACCTGAGTACAGCGCCAGCTACAGGCGGCATGTAAAACTACATACAGTTAAACAAAGTACAAGCCAAATGAATGTGAAACATTAAATAAACTGTGGCAGTTACAGCAAGAGAGAAGGAGTTCTCCCACTTCTCAGGGTTAAAAGCAACTCATAGTTTTCTGCTGTTTTGAAGAAGCTTCTGATCTTCATCAGTGTGAGAGAGGGATGCAGTGCGATTATTAGCTGGATGAATCAAAACAAGTTCTGACAGACCTCAGGTTTTGACAGAAAACGAGTTCCAGTCAAGGAGCGACTCGATGAATGCGATCATTTTTTTTTCACGTCCAGTTTGAGAAAACTCACAACAGAATAAAATGTTTATATTTCATACGTCCAACATGAAGACATTAACACCTCCCTGCTTCGGTTCACAGCTTGTGATTCGTCCTGCGTCTCTTGTTTCCCTGACAACCCCAAATGTATGAGCTGCCCCGCGGGAACCGCACTGCATCATGGGAAATGTATTACTCAGTGCCCAACTCAGCATTATCTGGACGGCCACAGCAGATGCAGAGGTAAGATCTATTTATATACAAAACTTAATTTTCTGTGAAAATACCGTGAATGCCGAGTGCTGAAGGACAGCTGAAGATGCTGAAACCGAGTTGGTCAAGCTCAGAGGAGCAAAACGCTAGCTACAAGATGAAGAGCATTAGCTAAAAGCTAAAAGTTGCAAACCATTAACTAAAATTTTCAAGATACAATGTAGCAGCTGAAAGCTTAAAATGTCACATCACTAGTTTAGACCTAAACAAATTACTAGCTTAGTGTTAAAAAGCAGAAGGCAAGCTAAGAGTTTAAAGTAGCAAAAAGCCAGCTAGAAGCTAATAAAAAAATTAGTTTAGCGAATGCCAAAAGCACTAGTTTAAGGCTACAAGTACGTGCTAAAGACTTTAAGATGCAAAGTAGTAACTAACAGGTTTAAAAGCTGAAACACTAGTTTACAGCTAAAAGGAGCAGATACTTGCTTAATGCTAAAGGTTGTATATACTGTTGTTTTGAAAAATATGAAAACTAAAGACAAGCTAGAAACTCAAATTGCTTGATCAGAGCTAAAAGTAGAAAAAAGCTTGTTAAAAGCTGAAATTTGTAAAAAGGTTAGAAGTTATAGAAATGAACAAAAAGCTAATTATGGCCGTGCAGTAGCTAAAAGTTGTACAGGCTAGCTGAGAGCTAAATGTAGCAAACATCTAGCTAGAAGCTAAGTTGTTTAAAGGCTAACTAAAATAAGCAGATAAGTATAAAGAAGCTAAAATTAACATAAAACGTAGCCTGTTTGCTGAAGCAGGTTTTCAAAAGAACGAAGGACTGAAGAAAACGTCACGTATTTCTAAAGGGGGAGAAAAAAAGTTTGTTAAAATGTTAAATATTTTGAAAAGTATTAAAAAAACTACTGAAAAACTTAAAAGTCACAGCAGCAGTGAATGAGCCAAAGTGTGCAGAAAGAGTTAAATGGACAAATAATGGATGGAAATAATAAATTAAAAAAATGGATTTAACAACATGTGTTCAGGACTACAGGTGAAAAAATAAAAATATTTAGTTAAATTTGAACATTTGTCCTCAGGTCTCAGTTTTCTCTGTCCCCTCAGCCTGCCACAGCTCCTGCGCCTCCTGCTGGGGCCCGTCAGTCTCCCAGTGTACCTCCTGTCCCGGTGGACTCCCGCTGCACCAGGGTCAGTGTGTGGAGGTCTGTGGGGAGGGGCTGTACGCTCAGGACAACACCTGCCACAGTGAGACCCAGCACAGCACCTCAAACCTTTAAAGGTAGTGAAGTCTCCTCTGACCGTCTCTGCTCTCCCAGATTGCCACCCCTCCTGCCGGTCTTGTGTGGGACCCCTGGCCTCGGACTGCCTCGGCTGCCTGAAACCAGAGGAGGTCCTCCTGCCCCAGTCTGCTCAGCTCCAGCATGGCGTCTGCACAGCCAGATGCCCCGCTCAGAGCTTCCTGGACGACACTCAGACCTGCAGAGGTGAGAACCCCGAGGTCCGATCCAGGTCTACAGACTCAAGTCTGTTTCCACTCAGCACCAATCGGTTGCGTCTTACCTCCATAAACTACCCAGGTTACCCGTGTTTTTGTTTTATTGTCTCTTTAATTTGAAGAAAAACTCAATTTTATATTTTACACCCAGGCGCTCGACTGATTGGAGAATTAATTTCAATTAAAACTGAGCTCAGGTGATTATCAGGGATTACTGTAAGTCTTTAAACTGGAACTGTTTGTAATTAACAAACAATGTTTTCTTTTTTAATCAGCATGTTCAACTTGTTCCAGTGTTTTCATTTCTGTACCGCTCATTTAAAATATTTATTCTGAACTTACAGGATCTTTGGCTAAGAGCTGCAGAAGAAGCCAGCTGAAAAAGCAGCTGAGATTTGCTGCAAGCAGAAAAATAAAAGTAGAAGGCGGTAAAAAAAAAAAAATTTAATGGCAGAGATGCGCAGAAAATGCTGAGTACAACAGATCTGTAGCAGGATGAGCATTAAAAGGTGAAATAGGCAGAGAAAGGCTGAATAGATTACAACACACCTGGAATTAGCAGAAAGAGACTGAAAGAAGCATAAAAATGTGAAATTATTAGAGACAAACACAAAAGATGGAAATTAGTAAGAAAAGTGAAAAAAAAAAAGGCTAAATTTAGCAGAAAAATACCTGAAAAAGCAGAATAAAAGCTGAACTTAGCAGAAAGAAGCTAACTGGAGCTGAATGAAGCTGAAATTAGCACAAATACTCTGAAGAAAGCTGAAGCAGAACAAAAGCTGAGGAAGGTAAAATGTTTCAAACAGCACAAAGAGTTTGGGCACGGAGAGCTGCATTTTCAATGAGGGAAAACATGGCCGAAACAGCTAAACATTTCCAAAAGTAAAAATGGCACAACATGCAAAAGTCAGAGCAGGAATGTCCTGAATGAGCCGAACGTTTCGATCCATGAATGATTGATTTTGTACAAACACGAGTTACATGCCGACAAACGTACGGAATAAAAATGGATCTCAATACTGAGAATGTTTTAGAAATGTTCAGGTTATTAATTATATAAAAAACAAAGCTTAGATATCATAATTGTTTACTGTAACTGTCACCGTGTTTGCTTCACTACCTACAGAAATAAGACATCAAAGCCTGTGGCTCAACGTTTGGTAGAAACGTACTTTTCACAGTTTGCAAACTTTGCAAATTAAAAAAAATCTACATGAGCAACCATGTTGGGACTAGAGTTGCACTCGGGTCCAAATCATCCGAACCAACCCGCAGCCATCATCTCTGAACCCCACCCGATCCGGCGAATTAACAATAATTACAGGTCCAACCCCCCCCCCCCCACACACACACATTTTAATTAAGCTTTGACTGCTTATACCACGCAGCACGGTGGCACAACTGGTAGAGCTGCTGCCTCTCAGCGAGCAGGTCCCTGGTTCAAACCCCGGTCCAGGGGCCTTTCTGGGTGGAGTTTGCATGTTCTCTCCGTGCATGCGTGGGTTTTCTCCGGGTACTCCGGTTTCCTCCCACAGACCAAAAACATGCATGTTAGGCTGATTGGTAACTCTAAATTGTCCCTAGGTGTGAGTGAGAGAGTGAATGGTTGTTTGTCTCGTGTGTCTCTATGTGGCCCTGTGATGGACTTGCGACCCGTTCAGGGTGTACCCCGCCCCTCGCACAGTAATTGCTGGACATGGGCACCAGCGACCCCCGTGACCCAAAATGGAACAAACGGGTAAAGAAAATGGATGGATGGATGGATGCTTATACCACCGACTATTATTAACAGTTGGCGGATGCGCGCGGCTGAGGGGCAGAAGATTAGAGCTGAGGAGCCATCAAAGCGCATTAAATGCTTCCCCTGCTTCTGCCTGTATTGGACCCTGCTCTGACGTGTCGGATATTTTGTGATCTCACCTGTTTGGGTCGTCGCCCACGCACGTCCATTTGGGTTGATGGATCGCTGACAGTAGTTCATCTGAAGCTCAACAGAATTTTTTACCTCTTTCAACCGGCCGGTCAGCGCACGGTCAAATGACCACATGCAGCAGGTGTATTTTGTCAAGCCATGTTTGCATATATTGGATCGTCGGCCGCGCACGTCCCTGACGCAATAAAAAGCCAGACACCGACACGGCCCACACATTAAGCGGCCTGGACTCTGGGTTGGGGTTAGAAATGACAGCTCTAGTTGGGACCCACCTGTGCTTCAGCTGCGCAGCGCAGACGTGTTTCCCTGTCGGAACGACACGTTTAAACAAGTCACAGGAAGTTTAGTTTTAATCAACGTAACATTTTCATGTCGCGTGTGCAGAACAGAGCAAATTGTTGTTGACTCTGCAGTTTTTGTTGTAAATTCAGTGAAACTGTGAGCTCAAACTTTCTGGGCGTGTTTTTATTTTTGGTCTGAAGAGACGAGTGATTAGAGGTTTCTGTGAGCGGTAAATTGTGCGTGTAATGGGCTGGTTCTTAAGCTGTTGCTGGAGTTGAAAGTCTGTCAACTGAGACTATTATCACACACACACACACACTGCTGCAGCATGCGTCTCATCAGAATGACAGGAGTCTTCTTGCTTGGCTGATTAAAAATGGGAGACAATGGGACCATAATCGTTGTTTAGACTTTGTTTTTCGTCCATAATCAGAATGTTTCATTTTCTCTCCGGTTTTTAGGCTCTGGTCAAACTGCAGTTTTTGACAGGAAGGAGTTTCTGTTCTTGTTGCTGCCTCAAGTTTCCTCTGTTCTGGCCCCTCGGTGTGACGGTTGGACAGAGGAAAAACAGACTCACACCAGGAGCTCGAGTTAAAATAAAATAAACTCCTGAACTTTATTTAATAAACCAAACAAACAAGCCGGCGTCGCAGTAAACTGCTTGCACAAAGGAGAACCGGGCGCGGTGTATGAACACACGATGCTCCACTGAGGACTGAATGGAGGCTTTAGGTTGATGAGAGAAGTGGCTGCAGCTGTGACAGGTGAGATAGGGAGCAGGTGTAGAGAGGCTGAGGAGCAGAGACTATCTGAGAAAAATACTGAAATCGCCTGGAAACAAGCTAAACACCAGAAGAAAGAATCAAAAATATACACAGGAAACTGAATCCTGAAAAGCACAGGTCCTCGTGTTCAGCTCGTGTCTGCTGAAGCTGAAGCTGCTCGTTGTGGCTTTAAAGCAGCCGATTGTCTGAACATTAAATATTAAATAAGTTTGTTAAGAGTAGCTTTTTTTATAGCTCAAGACACTTTAAAAGCTTAATGCACACAAAGGCAATTTACGGCTCGAGGGCCAAAAGTGGCCCTTGAACAATCTCCATCTGAACCTAATGGGAAAAAAAAGAACTTTAAAATAAGTAGATGAAAACCAGCAGTTTGTAAATAAAATGAAGGAAATCTAAATTAAATATCTTGGAGAAATGGATTTAAAACTTTTGGAATAAGTTTTTTTTTCTTCCTTTTTTCTTTGTGTTTCCAGGACTGGACTAAACTTTAAAGACTCAAACAAGCAAACAAATAACTTTTTTGTTGTTGTTGCATGTTTTAAGCTAGCAGATATGTTGCACAAGAGCCAGTTTACAGAAATTATGCCTTATTTTCCTAGATGGTACTGGGAAACATACTTTTACGAATCATGCTAACTATGCTACAGTCTGGAAATGTCTTCCAGATTATTTGTTTTAAAGAACATTTATTTTCCAATTTTGTGACACATTGATAAAAAACTAAATTTTGCGCTCTGGAAACAAAATGTCGGGGCTCTGTTCACAGACTTCAGCTCAGCCTTCAGTACCTTCATTCCACAGCAGCTGGTGGAGAAGCTGAGTCGGCTGAAGGTGGACACTGGCTTTGTAGGTGGGTTCTGGACTTTCTGACAGAGCGGCAGCAGACAGACGGGGTGAACAGCCACATCTAGAACCATCACAGTGAGCACAGGGTCCCCACAAGGCTGCGTTCTGAGCCCCCCTGATGTTCTCTCAGCTTGCACACGACTGCACTGCCAGACTTGGGAGCAATTTACCATTTACCGCTGCACATCCATGGGTCTGTTGCGTAGAGGGTCAGCAGTGTGAAGTTCCTCGGGGTTCATTTTGCTGACAGCCTCACCTCTAGTACTAACACCACAGCAGTCATAAGGAAAGCACAACAGCAGCTTCACCCCCTCCAGAAACTGAAGAAGGCAGGTCTTCCCCCTGCTCATCTCTCCGTTTTCTACAGGGGCGCCATTGAAAGCACCCTTACGTACGGACTCACGGCCTGGTTCGGTAGCTTTAAGAGCTACGAGGCAACATAGCTGAACCGGATCCTGGAAACAGCCAGCAGGATCATCGGTGCCCCTCTTCCCTTCCTCGTGGAGATCTACCAATAGCGTTCAGCTATCTCCATCATCAGGGACCCCCAACACCCAAATCACATTTTCTCTCCTGCCGTCTGGGAAGAGGTTCAGGAGTATCAGCTGCAGGTCCAGCAGGATGATGAATAGGCTTCCTCAGGACATAAGACTGATGAATGGTCAGTTGATGGATGGTCTTTGTTGACAGTTCTTCATAAATGTATGAATTTAGCCCCCAGCGCAGCAGATCGGTGTTTCCCAGCAGCTCTGAGGCTGTTTCTGGGCTCGATGATTCAACAATCACCGGCTGAGCCGAGGAATGTCTTCAGTTTGCTGTTGGCTGCTGGCTCTTTCGAACCTGCCAGACGTTCTAATTTGTTTGTTTTTTTGCAGCGGCTTTTGTGATGTAAGGAATTCCCTGAGTATCACAAAAAATTAACACTTACAGTATGTCCTGGTTTAGAAAAGTGCTTCTCCAGGATTATTCTGCGACACAAATCTTTCTTTTTACCCTTTGACTCATGGATATTTGCTGCATTTAAACAAATCGGCTGATCAGTTTGCAGTTTCATCCTGTTTTCTACAAGTCTGCATCACTTTAGTTTTAGGGATCAGGAGCCAGAAGTCGTTAGGAGAATGGTTTGATTTTTCTCTTCACAACTGTTTGTCTTCAGGCTCAGAGCAGCGAAACACCAGAGAAAAGTTTTCACTTCACCTGCGATTGAGAAGTCATTAGCGGTATCGAATTTCCTTAATCATGCTGGGAGAGACCGTTACTAATCGATAAGTAGCATTAGTCGTTCATCGGGTCCTCAGCATGTCCATTCGTCTCGTTGAACCTTGTGGGACCTGAGCTGAGCCAGAACCGTAGCTGCAGGAGGAATTCAGTCCACATCAAATATTCACAATAATGACATTTGCTTAATCAGCGAGAGGAATATCAGATTTATATTTTTTAAGGCCGATTTTGTCGACTCTGAGCCCCTTCTTGTTTGCTCTGGTGATGGACCGACTAACAGATGAGGTCAGGCAGGAATCCCCGTCGACTTTGATGTTTGCAGATGACATTGTGATCTGTGGTGAGAACAGAGAACAGGTGGAAGAGAACGTGGAGAGGTGGAGGTATGCACTTGAAAGAAGAGGAATGAAAGTCAGCCGTAGTAAGACAGAGTCCATGTGTGAATGAGAAGGAGGAACTTCAAGTACTTGGGGTCCACTGTCCAGGAAAATGGGGAATGTGGTAAAGAGGTGAAGAAGAGAGTCGAGGCAGGATGAGAAGAAAAATGGCTGAAGAAGGTTTTCATCTGATTAAGATTCCCTCCATCTGGAGGGCTTTCTGTTACCTCCTACTGAGAGAAGCGCTGGTGATGACTGGGAGCTGGATAGACAGAATATTAATAGACTCCTGGATCCTCCAGAGGTGTTGCTGGGAGAGGAACGTTCCAGCATGGACATGTCGTCTCTGTGACCAGGTGATCTGAGTGATCTTAATTCAGCGAGTCAGTTATAGTCATGACTGAGAATGAGCCGAGTCTCTCGGAGCTTCCAGGTTACGTAATGCTCCAGACTCAGCAGAAACTGTCATGTTTGGTTTTTAAGTACCGGTAAGTTTTTCCACCCTGATCTCAGTTATTAAATAAAATAAGTTTACTTTAATAAGCAACAAATAAAACTCTAAAACTAAATTAATCTTTAAACAATGATTCAAAGGTGACTTGTTGTTAAACGCAAACTCAACAATTTCAAACCAAGCTCCTGCCTGTTTGCAGTATAACCTTATTTAGTTGAGGTTGCATGTACATCTTATGAAGAGTAAGTACCTTACCTGTGTTACATGACATACCACTCAGACCAGGATAATCAGAAAAGCTTTTTTTTTTTTACTTCTAATGAGTCAACTAAAGATTATAATTTAGATTTATTACTAAACTACCTAATTTAGTTTGAACTATGTAACTTTGGTGTTAAGTGTACTCTATAGCAACAGAGTTTACAAGATTTGAATAGTTTCTGTTAGTTCTGTGACAGCTTTTCGTCATCTGTTCTGTTTCGCCTATTTTAGGTCCAACCTACGATTAAAAAACAAAACAATAGTTATATTCAAGCAAACTAGAAGATTATATTGGGGAACTTAAAGTTTTAGTCTTGCTACAATTTGTGTTTGGGATCAGTGACCAGTGAGCTGCGCGAGGCCACAATTTGGCCTCCCGTGTTTGAAAACGACGGCCTAGTTTGTGCCCACAGCTCCCAGTGCTGTAATCTTCATTTTGTACAATCATTCCTCACCCACTTCTGGTCGCTTTGTACCCACTGTGGCAGCCGAACCCCCATGAAGGTTGTGAGACATTCCTGAAACCCTCATTTACTCATCTCGTTTACTTCCTATCCAAGTTCTTCAAAACTGCAGGAGAAAACGATGTCATGGTTGTTTTTATTTTATCTTTTTACCATACCAATTTATTTATAGAGCACATACAACAGCAACAAGGCCAACCAAAGTGCTGGACAATAGAAACAAACAAGCACAGCGGACAGGAAAACATAAAATAAAACTTAAGTGAACTTGGGTTTTGAAAATGAATGAAACTTGTTTTTAAAAATGGTTGAATTTTGCAGCAACTGTTTGTCAAAATAAAAAGTTATGAAACATTTTGCAGCTGAAGTAGCATGTGATAGGAAAACCTTGATTTTAGTCAGACCAGACTGGTAACAGAGTTTTATTTGACGTAGTTGCAACTTTAAGCAGCTGTCATCTAAAAAACTGCACCTCGCAGAAACGGACTGGTGTCTCACCTGCCATAAACCGGCAGAATCGATAAGAATGATGGTGTAGATAGTTGAGAGGGATGAGATACAACCATCCTGTGATTCTGCTGTGCAGCAGGCAGATCTCCTTCCTGTGATAAGTTCTGTTCGGCACCAGGGGAATCATTTATGGAGGACATTAAGGAGCACTCATACCCCCAAACTAATTCAAAACCTCATCCACTGTGCCCACCTCAAATTATGACCCCATCAGCACAAAACAAAGTAATGAATCTGATTCTGGGAGACGGTGCACCAGATAAAGTGTGATGAGAGCGACGTGCCCGTGAATTTGGGTGCTACAGGAATCAATATGCATTCTGCTGAAACAAATGAGAGATTCAAGCTGCAGAAAAAATAGCGCGGAGCTTCCTATCATTCTTATTCTCCTTCCTTAATAATGAAATATATTTGACAGCAGGTTTGCTATAAATCTCCTGTTCAAAGATCAACAACCAGCTTAGTGGGCGGTGAACTCAAGCTCCTTGGCTGCCATTTTTTTTTTTACTTGGCAGAAGGGGCTTGTGGGTAGACTTCAGAGAAAAGGTGGGCGGTGATTGACGTTTCGGTTAAAACTCATGTGACTTGTACAAAGTCCATGCTCAGGCACTGAGACGCTCCCGAAGGGTAAATGTTTTTGCACAAACACAATTGTTGCCTTGGCTCAGGTAGAGGACCCATCTGCTGCTGCCAGTTTCCATCATCTGCCGTGCACACAAGTCTGGGACACAGCTGACAGCCCTCTAAAAGAATTCAGAGGGGCTTGATTATAAACGTGTACACCTCAGGGGAAATGGACTAAAAAAGAAAGGCTGTTACGTACGCATGTTTGCACACAAACCTGGGACTCCCAGCCTGTTGTTGACGGGCGTTCTCACCACCAGCAGCCTGAACCTGTCAGTCCGTGGCTTGGCCCAGCTGCCAGAGCTGATAACACTGCTCAGCTATTTGTCTTCCCGCTGCCAAAGCAGGCATCAAAGGCTTTAAAAAACTTTTTAGGGCGGCTGGTATGTGGGCTGAAGAATGTAGGGGCATGTTAGAGAGGGGTGATATCCAGGGAGCGTAGCACATTTAAAAAGTAGAGTACTGTTCCACCACAGGGTTCCAACTTTTTACTATGGTTTAAAAGCAACAAAACAGTCTGTAGAGCATCTGGCATCTGATAAATGTTAGCTAAAATAATTTTTAACATCTTTTGAAATACATTGTGCTAAAATGCCTGCAAACATCACCAGCTTTCTATCATACTATACATACAGTTACTTTAATTCCATTATTATATTTTTTGAATTTAAACATAAAAGCGTGAAATACCTTCAGCTTGCTGACAAACTTTTCTTTAAACTCACCATAAAGTTATTTTAACGCATCCTAAAGCTGCACGTTGTGCTGGATCCTTTTTCATCCCGTGTACTGTTTGTAGTAAATATATTCTGATTCTTTGTCTTTTCTCAGAGTGTCATCCCTCCTGCCTTCACTGTACTGGACCGTCTGCAGAAAACTGTACCTCGTGTCCTTCTTCGTCCAGCCTGCACGAGGGCCGCTGTGTCCCCACCTGTCCACAAAGCTTCTTCAGCCGGGACAACCAGTGCCAAGGTGAGGAACCATGTGTGCGTGCACACCAACTGAGGGGTTCCTATGGTTTTATTTCGTACCCAAACTGTACAACCGAAGCTCTGAGACAACACTTTGATGAGCTGAAGACCTGACGCAATTTAGTATTTTCTCCTAAAGATGCTGCCTCTGTCCAGGCTGTAAAATTAGATGCAACATCTCACAGGAAATTCTCCTTTTCTACTTTCTGATTGTTTATTATTATTTTTTATTTTGCTTTTGATTTCGGGAACCCCATTTAGTGATGAGTCTGTTCTCCTTAGCCTAGTTTCTGTGTTCATTATGTGTTAGTTTGTGTTAGGTACCGGTAGTTGTCATGAAGATCTGTGGGGTCCACTCTGTCTCTGTGGGTTAAACAGTAAATTACAGTCACGAGGACCCGCCCCCAAGAGAGATGTGTACTGGACAGCTATGTGAGCACTCAGGTGTGATGAAGCTAAATGTTAATTGGCGGCAGGAAGCTCGTTAGCCCGTCAATAAAAGCAAAAACAAACGTAAATTGGCCGCAGCATTGTATAATCTGCAGGGTTCAAAGTCTGAAAAAAGTAGTGGCTTATAGATCGGAAAATACAGCTTGTCAAACTGCTCAGCGGTCCTGATACAAAAACTTTAGCCTCTTCTGGTTCGTTTTCACATCACTTCTACTGTTAGAAGTCCATGATGCCTGAATTTCTCCTTCTTTCTTTAGCAGCCGAGCTCTTCTAGACATATCTGCATTCATTTTTACGAGATGCTCATTAATACGTACATTTATCTGCTTCAAATGCGTTCCTGACAGAAATGAGAAAATGGACTGAAAGACTGAAACGTTTGGTTGAAACAAGTTAAATATTTGTTTATTTGACTGAGAATAATTATCCCCATTTTTCAGTATTACAGCATTAATGGTATAGTCATGTTTGAAATTATAATAATAAATAATAAAATTAGAAAACAGGCACCCCGAAGGAGGTGCCGTCTGGGTCACGTCGACTTTTATGAGACATTAAAAACCTCAGAAAATTAAACTAAATGGTGTTTTAGTATAATAGCACGTTAACCACTTAAAAAGAGCTTAGCTGTGCTTTTCTGTGTTTACTCACCTGCTTAATGAAAATCCATTTGCTCTAATCTTCCGTTCCTCACCTCGGCTCCAGTTAGCTGCTCTGACCTCATCTGAAGCTACGTGATGCCCTCTCCTACATTTACCAGGTTTTTAACGCATAGTGAATGATTATTTTTGCTTATCTTGAAAAATGTAAACACCAAATCAACACAGGCAGTAGGATTTTTTTTATTTATTTCAAACCTGGCTGCAGTAATGGAAACAGCAGATGAGAAAAGATGGAGGCAGTTAGGAAGAAGAATGGGCTCCGATTACGTTTTGTCCCGGGACACCAAAACAAATGTTCTCCGGTTGTTTAATTTGTCTTATTCTGTGTGGATCAGCTCATTAGACCCGATCCAGATGAGAGTCAACTTTTACTCTAAAGTTCTGGAGTCTGCGGCTTCTTTTAAAGGCTGTAAGTTTTAAAAGTATTAATTTATACGAGTTATTAATGCAGGATTTAATGTCGAAGAGGTGAAAAAAAACCATAATCTCCAACTCGACTGAACATTATCAGCACCTCCGTAACCCCAACAGGAAGTCGTTTTCTTTAAACTCACAAGAAAAGAAACATTTAGCAGTGTTTCCCCGAGTTTACAGTAGTCCCTCGTTTATCGCCGGGACCTGTACCCTGAAGACTGTCGATAAGTGAAAAACCGTGAAGTAGGAATAGTAGTACAAGTAGTAAGTAGTAGTTTATTTTAGTATATATATATATATGTGTATGTGTGTGTGTGTTTGTGTAAAAATGCATTTTAATCCCTTCCCACACCCTTGCAGTATTCTAAACAATGTTTCTAAACTTTAAACGCTCTAAAAGAGCACAGAATGTCATGATTTCAGTTCTCTGCCTCCGGCTGCACGCTCGGCCACGCCCACTTCTCTGCTCTGCATGGAGATCAGCTGATCAGCTGCGGGAGAAGCTTCTCCCACAGCTGTGGGCTGCACACAGGTGCTAAATCATTTAAAATAATTTATTTTAAATTTAAAAAATCCATGCATATCGTGCAGCTCATCCATCAATCAGCCAGTTTTGTGTCATGTCCAGTCTTACTTTGATAAACCACGATAGAGCGGGCCCGTGAAAAACGAACTGCGAAGTAGCGAGGGACTACTGTAGTTGCCTTGGCAGGGTGCTCATATATTCTGTGATTTTTGTCGGGGGGGGGGTCTGTCATTAGGCAGGGTGCTTGGTTCAGTTGACCGGGCGGGGCGCCCTGCTTGTAAAATGTTAATGGAAACACTGTTCATGGAAAACAAAGGTAGAGACCAGTTTAGGGGACCCCGAACAGAGGACCAGAGTGGATCGTTTGAACCCAAATGAAGCAGCTGTTCATAGTTTAAATTATTTAACATAATCTATTAGGTGAATTGGAAACACCTTTTTTTTTTTTGGTCTCTATATTTATTTATTTATTTATTTATTTATTTATTCAATCAAAAGCAACAAAACAAATCAATCAAAGCTCTTTGCAGAACCCGAAGAGTTTAAAAAGGCTCTGAATACACGAGGACTCTTTACTTTTACCATTTCTGCCTTAACTGGACCTCGATCAGGCGTTTATTTTTAGCCGAGTATATATTTTTGTAGTTTGCAAACGTTTCCCCGCATCATTCAGTCACCTGGTTGAAGAAAACCACGAAAATGTTTTTGTGTTTTTTTTTTTTTACCCAGACTGGATCTGTAAAGAGTTTAAAACCTGTTTCTTTCAAATATTCAGAGGTAAATATAAAAACCTACAATTTCAAAAGTGTTACTCCAAAAATAAACTCAAACTTGAGAAACTGCAGTTCCTGCTAAAATACTGCGTGAAGGCCGGGTTCTGGAGAACAGCTGAACGTTGTTGAGGAAGTAGCTGAAGTTAAAACAAACAGAAAAGTAAATAAAATCTAAAAGTAGCAAAGCAGTAGCTTAACGCTAAATAGAAAACAAAAGAATACGTTTAATGAAGCAGAGTTTAAGAATAAGGTTTTTGAAAGGATTTAAAATATTTCTATATATTTCTACGGGGACATATTTTAAAATTTAAGTTTATATTTTGAAAAGTGTAAAACGTTCAAATGCCAAAACAGTGATCAAGCTTTTCTGGATCGAGCTGAGCAGTTTGGTGTTTGAATGGTTAGATTTAAAAATAAAACGCAGAGAGGAAACTAATTAAAGGGAAAGCTGGAGTTCGTTTGTTCGGCTGGTGCCATCTCAGACCAGAATCCATCTCAGGTAAAACAAGTCTGATTTGAATTAAACTACATTCAGACCAAATTACTTCACTTTATCCTAATGTAGTTTATTTCAGTCCAACTATAATTCGTTGCTTCATTTGACAGAAACTGCTCTTGTCATAAAATGACGATGCGTAAAAGACCCAAACCCAGACTCTACAGGTGAAACTGTTGAGACTTAAACTGAAACTAAGGAACTTTCTGATTGGTCGGGACTTCACCGCCAGCAGAGAAGGCTGAGCTCAGTTTCTGCAGGATGCGTTTGTTTAATAACTGACAGGGAAATTTACCAATCACAATGTTGATGTAGAGTGATGGGACTAAAACACGGGACTCTGAGCCTTCGGGGAGGCCCTGCAAGATGTTGTTTGTTTTGTTTTTGATTATGGGAAGTTTTGTGATGCATTTAATTGCAACCTGAAAAAAATAAAACAATCCTCATTAAAATTGTAGTAGCTCCACAAAATAAAGGTTTAATATCAGATTTAGCTTTATTTCATCATTTTCATTATTAAAGTTGTATGTTGGTTTCATTACATGAAATTAAATTTTACAGAACCAGCAAGTTCTTTGGAATATTGTTACATTGCAGTCTGAAACATTGAAGTGGGCTTTGACGTCAGCGTGTTGAAGGTTGTTACATCACTTCCTGTCTGAAGCTCTTGTAATCACGGTTCACCGCTGGTGTAAGGTTCTTCTGAGGCTGTAGAAAAGTAGATCCCAGTTGGTTTAATCAACACCTGTGTCCCTTCCAGGCTGCCATCCGTCCTGCCAGACCTGCTCCGGTTCCTCCCAGGCCGACTGCACCTCCTGCCCCCCTCTGGCCTCCCATCAGGACGGCCACTGCACAACGAGCTGTCAGGAGGGGCGTTTCCTCAGCGCCGCCACAGGAGAGTGTCTCAGTAAGTCCAGCTGTGTCCAGATGTGAGCGGACGCTCGCTTGTCGTATAAATGTGACGCTTTCATCGAACCCTCTGCCCGGACGACTCGTTTGTGTCGCCTGATTGACTTGGACGAGGATCAGAGGCTTCGATTCTGCCAGGAATCGAGTCCGCTGAGCGTTTTCTGACGCAGACCGAGACCCAAATAATCTCCATCATCTTTGTGGAGTAGAAGGTTTTTAACGGAGATGTTTTATTTTAGTGGTTTAGGTTTTACAATTATCTGAAAAGGTAAATGAAACATTTATTGTTCTTTAGAAGAGCAGCAGGAAACAAAACAGATTTACCGGTAGTTGTTTAGTAGCTGAATGGCTGCAGTTTATTAAAATCTTTACAAAAGTCTTTTGTAAATCGATTCATACGAGATTTTAATCCGTCAACGTTTTTGAATTATCGTTTAAAACTTTGTGAAAACAACACAAGCTATGAATTTTAACAAAATGTCAAATGTTCCAAAGTGCTCAGTTTCACATCTGGAGGTGATAATTAAAAACACTTAAACTTATAAATCCCTCGATGAATTGCTTATCACCCGCCACATAGAGATCTCGTGTGCTCATTTAGCGCTCGGATTATGTCGGAATGACTCTCAGCTACTACCACACTACATTTTTAACTCCGTATCTGTAAAATTGAGAGTTGAATCAATTTGTGTGTTGGAAAAAAGTGGATTAGTTTGGTGGCCATCTTTAATCGGATTGACTCCAAACATTCATCAGTTGGTGAAGTACAAGTAGTGATTCCTTTTAGGTGTTCAATGAAAATAAAACCCGGGTGTCAGGAGATATTTTTCTAACAAGACAGCAGCAGGGTGATGAAATGTGGTCAGTTTGTCCTCAGCAGTCTAAGCCTATAGCAGCATAACTAAGGAATAGCTCAGGAAACCCAAGCCGACCCTAACTATAGGATTTATCAAAAAGGAAATACCTAATCTTAAAAGTAAACAATGTGTCAGCCTCACGGACAGAAACTGGAAGTTGGTTCCACAAGAGAGGAGCCTGAGAACTGAAAGGGAGCTGATAACTCCCATTTTATTTTGGAAACTCTAGGAACCACAAGTAAACCTGCCGTCTGAGAGTGAAGTGCTCTGTTAAAAAAATATGGAACAATAAGATCTCTAATATAAGATGGAGCTAGGTTGTTGAGAATTTAATGGACAAAGGCTGGATGGAAGTGAAAAAGCTTGTTTCTCCAAAATTATACTTTTATTTTTTTAAATAAAAAAAATCATTGATAAACAATTTAATATTTGGATTTGTGAAGCTGACAGCTGCTGGATGGAAGGGTTTCTTGGCCCGTTTGGTTCTGTATTGCATCAGAATTCAGACCCCAAGCGATGCTATTTGATACATTTGGCTTTTTTTATTTTATTTTTTTAAATAAAGTCATTGAGACCCCATTAGAAAGTCCCAACCTGATAATTCCTGATGGGAGTTTTTTAGGTGTGGTGCATCAGTTACCATGGTGACGGACCCAGTTAAGAAGTGAATCTGATCCTGACCTAGAACTCAGATCAGCGCTGTTTAACACAATCGGTCAGGTCCTAGCCGAGCAGTGATCAACCAGCTCTGGTTAATAGAAAACGGCGTTGAGGTTCTTCTGGGCCGCAGAAACGCTGCGGTCATCAGTTCTTCCATTTCATCGGTTGAGGCTGTGGTGCCATCATTCTTAAACGGCCTGTTAATTCAACATGAGAGCACCAGAGGCAGAATCTGTTCATCATCTGTCCATCCCCTCCCAGCTCCCCTCGGTGTAGAAACGCTCCTTTTCTTGTCGTTTACACTTTTTTAAATTAAGATCTAAACATTTTGAAGAGATTTTTTATCCTCACATTGTCCTTTAACTTTATGACAATAAGTGTTGCTTAGAGAAAAAACAAATGACCTTATTTTACTGCCTAAAAATATAAGTTTTAATATTTTTGTCTGAGTTTTTTCTTTCTGTCATGTGACTATAGAAGAAGGTTGGAACAACGATAGACCAATAAATGGAGCACTTCACATTTCCACACAGTCCTTAATTAACCATGACAGACTGGACCAACACACTCAATACTGCAGTCAATCCATTTCCTGCTCCATCCTTTGGCTCTTGAAAAAGACTCTCACATATCGGAACTCCTCCACTTGAGGCCAAGACTTCCCTCCGACTCAAAGGGATCACTTGAACAATACTGTACTTCTGATAAAGAACCATGGACTCAGACTTTAAGGAGCTGGTTTTGATCCCCGTGTAGAACTGCTCCAGTGAACGGTGTTGGTCATAGATTGTTGGCACGGACAGAAACACGTCATCTGCAAAGAGCAAAATCAAGTTTCTGAGGTTCCAAAATCTGATGTCCTCCTCTTCTTGTGGACTGTCTCCATGGACCACAAACAGGTTTAGAGACCAGGGGTGGTCCAGAGGGAGTTCATCCTGCCCCAGAAATGAACTCAACCGTTTGCTGAGTGTCACAAGAACAGAATACCCAGTATGAAAGAACTGAAGATGAACAACTCAGACACAAGAAGGTCAATTCAGTGCTTTTATTTACAGTGATAATCAACTCAGGATTAATCAGGAACCCTGTGGAGCAATGAGATGGTTTATGTCCAGAGTTCAGCACAGGGGTTTTACTCAGAGCATGCAGCTTCCTTACTGGTAGATGGTAGGCCGTCCGTTTGGTTCCAGAATCCTTTACAGTCATGAGGAGGTCCAGAGAGCATGTAGCTGGAGACACAGGAGAGCAGCTGAAGGGGCACAGGTAAGGTTCCAGAGGTTCACGAGAAGGTCCAAGTACACTGGTAGGTCACAGGTGGTTCACTGGAAAGATCACATAACAAAGGTACAGTAAGAATTCACAAGGCTCTAGAAACACACAAAGGGCTGAGAGCACGAACCATTGGCAGGGTAATGCTCCAGCGTTGAGGGAGTGTCTTTGCCTGCCTTGGAGCTTCATCAGGAACAGATGGTGTTGGAGTATGGCACCCTCTGATGATCAAACACTGGAACTCCCACACTGAGAATGTAGAAATGGCTCTCGTTCTGGTTTAAAGGGACGTCATCGTCCAAAAGGGACTAAATCTATTTCATTGCAAGCGTTACATACTTTTACAGGCAATTCCATTTTTGTTCCTCATAATTTTTTCAGTCTCGTTGCTCATGTCATTAACAATATACAATAACAATTAATATGTGTAGAATATTTTGATTTTCTTCATAGAAAACCATTTAACTTAAATGATTTGCATAAATATTAGTAATTTGCTTATTTAGGAGTCTGTTTTGTACTTTTTAGTATCGACTGCGTTTTTGAGATCTCAACTCTAAAAACGGGCAACAGAAGAATCTGTAACTTTGTGTTTTGACCAAATTGACTCCAAAGTTTTGTTACAAATAAGTCGTGAGAAATGGGTTTACCGCATGTCCCCCTTAAAGCCAAAGAACATAATGTGTTTAATGTACCTGTCAGTGCCCTTGGTATTCAGACATGGAAAATGCAAACAGAATAAAATATTTTCAATTAAAGATGCAGACGTTGTAAAGTAGTCCTTTGTATTCTGCACCACACAGGTTAACGAGACGGGTTTGACTGTCAGCAACACCTGCACTGTCGAACACGACTTTATGCTTTTGTTTCTGATCAGATATTTAGACCTGAACCAGAGTTCTGTTACTGTGTGGGGATAAAAGCAACAAATTACGGCCTCTGGCTCTCTCTCATCTTTTCACTCCCCTTTTCTTCCTCAGTCGTATTTTAGGGGTGATAGTGAGTTTTGACAAAAAAGAGGAAACAATTTTCTTCCTGGAAAGTTGAAATGAAATAGTTTCACCCAAAGCTAACAGCTGCTTTAGTTTGTCAGAAACCGTCCTTTTCCAACGTATTAGCATTAAATAGACATGTATATGTGGTGAGACAGCGTCACCATAAGAACCCTGAACATGAAAGAACACATGAGGGCAGTTCTTATTCCCTGTTCTGTCTGCAGAAAATGAAAGCCCCACATTTCTGACATTGACTCAATGAGTCTCTGCAGGAAAAAAAGTTATTCACTGATTTTATAAAGTTTTATTTATTTAAAATGACTTCTTTCTGTTGTCGCTGGAAGAATGAGTTCCTCTCAACAGAACTTTTTGAATATTCTCACTTTTGCTGTGGTTTTGGATGGAAGATTTAGATTTATTTACTGAAAAGGAGGAAATGACAAAGATGTTCAAGTTTACTCCTTCACAGCTTCTAACAATAAACTTGACATTTTATTTTAGAGGTTCCATGCAACTCTTGAAATCAGGGAAAACCTGGAAAATGGCTCGCATTTCCCAGACTGGAAAAAGAACTCGCAGGAAATTCAACACTGACCTGTTGATTAAACCATGATCTTTCTGATGTTAGTATTGTGGGAGAACAAACACAGCTTCCAACAAATAATATTTTCATCATTACACGAGCGGAAGGGTTACATTTGTTTATTTCCACTCTCCTTTTTCTACGTAATTGGCGCATACTTAATTACAGCTCACTGAAATACGAATCATCACACCGCTAAACTGTAATTATTCTGAGCGCCGTCCTTAATGTTCTGCTCTTTATCTGGACTCATCACCAGGTTTGGATCGACTGCCTGGGTTTATCCGCATCTTTTGTTGCTGTTACTTTACAGGACGGAGTCAACAACTGTTTTTTACATGACGGGAACAGTAAGATCGCTCCGCCCACGCGTAAATGTAACCCAGGGTGAACTAACCTCCGACTAATAAGTAATGGTGGCGGTAATGAAGCTCATGGTGTTACTTGATGCATTTAGTGAAGCTTTTCTGCCTTATCAGCCAACATTAATGCAAAGAAGACGGGCAAAAACAATCAAAGATAGTAATAACTTAAAAAGGTTACTGCAGTGGATGTTTTCATTCTGCAGAGCGACACAGGGCTGTAATTTACAGTAAAATTCAGTATGTAAGAGTGTAAATTTTACATTACACAA